AAAATTGATTAAACCTAAAGTTGATCCTTTGAAAAATTTTTATCTTTTTTAATTTTTTTAATTTTTTAAATTTTTTTTACTATTTTTATTTTATGTATATGCATGTATTGCCTGCATGTAGGTAAGTGCAGCCATGTCGTGAAATGCCTGCAGAGGTCAGAGGAAGCTGTCAGATCCCCTGGGACTGGAGTTATGGACAGTTGTTAGCTGCCATGTGGGTGCTGGGATTCAAACCCAGGTCTTCTGCAAGAACAACCAGTGTTCTTAACTGCTGAGCCATCTCTCCAGCCCCCTTAATTTTTTATTTTACGAGTGTATGGCCTGCATGTGTGTAAGTGCACCCATGTCATGTAACGCCTGAAGAGGCCAGAAGAGGGCATTGGACCCCTAGAACTGGAGTTGTGGATGATTGTTAGCCACCATGTGGATGCTGGGAATCGAACCCAGGTCCTCTTCAAGAGCAGTCAGTGCTCTTAACTGATGAGCCATCTCTCCAGTCCCCAAAAGATTTTATTTTTGAAAGAGTAAATTAGTAAAGCTTTAGCCAGATGAGTGTGTGTGTCTTAGAGAGAGAGAGAGAGGGAGAGGAAGGGAGAGAGAGAGAGAGAGAGAGTCCTTAAAACTCTAAAGAGCTACAGAGAAAATCATAAACTTCACTAGCAGCTTTTTGGTTTGCTTTGCCACCCTTGGGATGGAACCAGGAGCAGAGCTGACAAGCATTTCACTGGCAGCTCTAGCTTCAGCTGTAATCTTACTTTTCACATCAATGTAGATATTGAACTGTCAGTTAAAGGCCAGCAGAATGGCTCAGCAGGTAAAAAGCCTGATGACCTGAGTTCAAACCCCATAACCCACATAGTGGAGAGAGAAACCCACGTTGACTAACTAGAACATTCCAATTGTGGATAGAATGTTGCAGATAAAAAGCAAAATTATTTTGGGTTATTTTAGTCCTTTTGTTGTTGCTATTTTGCTTTGTTTTGGGGGGTGGGGACAGACTGGCCCAGAACTCTCTATGTAGACCAGACTGGCCTCAAACTCACATAGATCTGCTTGCCTTTGTCTCCCAAGTGCTGGGATTAAATGCATGCACCATCATGGTCTGTATCTGACCTAACATTCTTGTAACTCCTAGACAAAATTCTTAGAATTCATGTCAACATAGATCTGCCTTCCACCAACCTAAAGCTGAGACGATAAACTATAAATCCTATAAAAGGGACCCCCCCCTCATTGCTTAGCCATCTTCCTAGTGACCTTTATTTGACTTTGTAACACATTGGTTCATGACTTTCATTTGTTCTGTGTCCTAGTTTGTTTTCTACTGCTATGATAAACACCCATCCCAAAGCCAACTTGGGGAGAAAAGGGTTTAATTCTACTTACATTACAGTCCTTCATCAAGGAAAGCCAGGGCAAGAGCTTAAGCAGGAACCTGGAGGCAGAAACTGAAGCACAGAGAGTGGAGGAGCACTCCTTACTGGCTTGCTCCTCTGGCCTGTACTCAGCCTGCTTTTTTATACAACACAGGACAATCTGCCCAGGGGTGGCTCTGCCCAGGGGTGGCACTGCCCACAGTGGACTGGGCCCTCCACATCACTTATCAAAAAATGCCTCATGGACATGGCCACAGTTCAATCTAATAGAGCTAATTCCTCAGCTGAGGTTCCCTCTATCCAGGATGTCAAGTTGACAACTGAAGCTATCCAGCACAGTTAACCACTTGTCCACTTGACACACAAACACATCACTATTAAACCACATCTTTCCATTTCTTGTCCCCAAGATATGATGTTATTAATCACAATATAAAGCAGTACAACCATAAAAGTCCCACAGTCTTTAAAAAACTCAAACACTTTAGTTCAAAGTCTCTTCAAAAAGTCTCTAAGATATAGGCTCCTGTAAAATCCAAAACAAGTTACTGCCTTATTTCAAAAACAAAGAATTGTGCGCACATAAATAAAACCAAAGTCCAGCAATGTAACTCAGTGTTGGAAATCTAGGATCCACTCACAGTCTTCTAGGCCCCAAAGGGCTTGGGCAGCTCCACTTCTCTGGCTTTTCTGTCCACAGCACTTACAGTTTGTCTTATTGACTCAGGCTAGTTCCGCTCCACACCTGCTGCTGCCCTTGGTGGTCATCCCATGGTCTTGGCATCTCCAACATGCAGGGGTCTCCACTGCATTTGAGGCTGCATCTTCAACTAATGGACTCTCCTAGTCCCTCATGGTGCCAAGCCTCAGATTCTCTCCATGACCCCTTCAATCCTGGGGGAGGTCTTTACCACAATTGATGATGCACCTTCACCAATGGTCTCTCCTGGCCTTTCACAGTGCAAAGCCTCAGATTCTTTCCATGACCCCTTCATATCTTCAACACCAGTACTATCTAAGAGACTCTTACACATTGCCAAGTTCTGCTACCAGTTTATGTGCAGCCTTGCCCCCACCACACTCTACCATAGCTTCTGTGTGCTGACCCTGAGGAAATACTTCCCAGAAGATTTCACCTCGATGATGCTGGTCTTTTGTTACTCAGAGACAATTTTTCAGCCCTAGCTAACCAGCATCAGTAGTCCCAGTAAAGCAAAGGTCACTTCAGTGGTACTAGTCTCTTCTTAATCACACCTGATTCTTCAGTCCCAGCTGACCAGAAACCACAGATTCTCAATTCAAAAGATCATGCAAACAGCCGTAATAGTCTGCTTCCCTTGAAGATTCACAAGCCAGGCCTCCAACAGAGTCTACGCCTCTTTAAGCATTATCATCCAAGTTTCTACAGAACAGCTCACTGAGTTCCAAGTACTTTTCTAGTTCAAAGCTCCAAAAACTTCCACAATCCTCTCAGATGCAAAATAGACAGGTCTAGCACATAAATACCCCACTCTTGATACCAATTTCTGTTCTACCTACTTTCTAGTGCTATGACAAAAAACACTGACCAAAACCATCTTGGAAAGGAAAGGATTTATTTTATCTTATCTCTCCCAGGTCACAGTTTATCACGGAGGGAAGTCGGGGCAGGAACCTGGAGACAGAAGCTGAAGTACAGACAGTGGAAGTATGCTCCCTTGGCCTGTGCTCAACCTGTTTGCATATACAACCCAGGACCACCTGCCCAGGGCCATGTGGCACTGCCCACAGTGGGCTGGGCCCTCCTACATAACTCAACAATCAAGAAAATGCCCCACAGACTAATCTAATGGGAGAAATTCCTCAGATGAGGTTCTCACTACCCAAGTGTGTTGAGATGACAACTGAAGCTATCCAGTCATTTTACAACTTCAAAATCTCATGTAACCACTTCCTCGGTGGAACATGTCAGTCAGGATATACTTAAGTCTGTGGTCCTGGGCCATAGCCATTCATATTTGGCTTATGTTAAGAGATTTCCTTATTTATTTAAAGTAAAATTGTTATTTTATGTTGAAAAACTCAGTCCTAGAACATTTTTATAAATTTTATATTTTTTATTTTTTTTTTATGTGTATGAATGTTTTGTCTGCATGTATGTATATGTGCCACAGGCATGCCTGGTGCCCACAGAGTCCAGAAGAGGGCTTTGGATTCCCTGGAACTGCAATTACAGGTGATTGTGAGCTACCATGTGGGTGCTGGGAATCCCAAACCCAGGTCCTCTGCAAGAGTAGCAAGTACTTTTACTGCTGAGCCATCTCTTCAGCCACCTAAAACTTTTAAAAAATTATTAATTATCGTCAGACCGGTTTTGGAGCTGCTTCTGGAAGGATGGCTGCAATGGCCATGCAGGGAGAGCCGCAGGTCCAGTTCAAGCTCGTCCTGGTGGACAATGGTATCACCGGGAAGACAACGTTTGTGAAGCGCCACTTGATGGGGGAGTTCGAGAAGTATGTAGCCACCCTGGGCGTTGCAGTGCACCCACTCATGTTCCACACCAACCAGGGACCCATCAAGTTCAACGTGTGGGACACCGCCAGCCAGGAAAAGTGTCAGGGCCTGCACGATGGCTACTAAATCCAGCCCAGAGTGCCATTATAATGTTTGATGTAACATCAAGAGTTACTTACAAGAATGTGCCTAACTGGCATAGAGATCTGGTACGTGTCTGTGAAAACATCTTCATTGTGTTGTGTGGCAGCAAAGTGGATATTAAGGACAGGAAAGTGAAGGCAAAATCTATTGTCTTCCACTGAAAGAATCTTCAGTACTATGACATTTCTGCCAAAAGTACCTACAACTTTGAAAAGCCTTTCCTCTGGCTTGCCAGAAAGTTCATTGGAGACCCTAACTTGGAGTTTGTTGCCATGCCCGCTCTTGCCCCCCCAGAGGTAGTCAGGGACCCAGCTTTGGCAGCACAGTATGAACATGATTTAGAGGTTGCTCAGACGACTGCCCTCTGGGAAGAGGATGATGACCTGTGAGAAAGTGAAGCTGGAGCCCTGAGTCAGAAGTCTAGTTTTATAGGCAACTGTCCTGTGATGTCAGCAGTGCAGTGTGTGTGACACCTTATCTGGCTAAGCAGAAAGTGTGCTTCATCATTGGGATGCTGAAGGAGATGAATGGGCTTTGGAGTGAATGTGACAGTTAAAAAACATACCTTCATTGTTTTTGGACTTGCATACCTAGCTGTTTGGAACACAGTTGTTTTCTTCCTGAATTTCGAAGACTGCTACAGTCACTTCACAATTCTCAGTGATGAAATCTTGTTTGTTACTGTCACTTAAAATCAGAATAAAGTTGTATTTCAGGGAAATATCTTTTAAAAATTACTATCAGATTTTTGTCTCAAGTTTATATCAACAGAAGACAAATTACAATTTATCTTTAAGGAATAAGTATGTAGAGGACTGGAGAGGTGGTCCAGCAGTTAAGAGCACTCGCTGATCTTGCAGAGGATCAGGTTCAGTTCCCAGCACCCAATGGCAGTTAACAGCCATCCAAAACTCCATACTTACATACATGCAGGCAAACACTCATACACATACAATAAAAAAATAGAATTTTTTAAAATGTATAGCTGTGCATATTTCAGCTGCACATATCTGAAATTGGAACAATACAGAGAAGATTAGCAAGCCCTGCACAAAAATGGCATGCAAATTTGTGAAGTGTTTCATATTTTTGCTAAAAGACCAGGACATAAATCACAGAAGTCCTTCCTCCTGTCCCTACCAGGACGAGTGGCAGAGCATCCACACACAAATCAGCATATATCTGATAACTGTCTTGTTGAGTCCTAACCATCTTCAGTGTGTCCTGATGGGCCTTGAGTCAGATTTGTTAAAAACCTAGCTATATAGGAAATGGTGATTTTTTTTTTGATGACTTTGTTTTAATGGGTTTGTTTTATTATGCTTTGTTTACATTGATTTTTTTGGCAGTTTCAGAACAGTTGAGCAAAAAGTAGTTTCCATATATTCCTGTTTTTTTCCTATTAAAATCTTATTATAGTAAATAAATAAAATTTAAGAATATAAATAAAATGTATAATTGAAGCCGGACTTGGTAGCTCATAACTGTAATCCCAGCACTTGAGAGGCAAAGGCAAGAGGATCAGGAGTTCAAGGTCATCTTCAGCTACATAGTGAGTTCAAGGCCAGCCTGGGCTACCTGAGACTCTGTCAAAAACAAAGCAAGTGTAGTTGAAAAGGGCTAGAGACATAGTTCATTGGTAGAACACAAAATATATAGTTGAGAAACTGATTTGAACAATATTTTAGGATACGATCTTCCTAATTTCTTGCCTAGTTTTAGAACATCAAAGAGAATTCTAGGATCACTTTAGGGTCATTTGTGAGTTTCCTTTATTAGATTTAGATCTATAAGACTTGTTTGGGGAGTTTTGCTAATTCAGACTAGCTGAAATATAAAAAAGAAGATTTAAAATATATTGCATTTATAAATGCAGTTTTTAAAATGTATGGACTAAAGATGTAGCTCAGTAGTAGATTGTTTGTCTAGCATGCATAAGGCCATAGTTCTGATTATCTGCATGGAAGGAAAAACAAAAGCTGTGAAGTGTTCAAATAATTTAGTAAATCCAAGGATCTCTTAAAAGTAATGGTTAAAAATATTTTTTCTGTACTTGAAAAACCTTGTCAGTGACCTGCAAAGTCTAAGGAAGAATGGAGCATGGTGACAAACACCTGGGAGATGGAGGTAGAAGGTTCAGGTTCATGGTCATCCTAGGCTACCAAGTGAATTCAAGGTAAGAATGGAGTACATGACATAGTCTTTCAAAAAAAAAACAAGGAGTGGGGATGTAGCTTAGTGGTAGGAGCACTTGCCTAGTATGTGCAAGCCCTGGGTTCTTTCCTCAGCACTGCAAAAGGAAAAGGTAACAACAACAAAAACAGCTGTGTAATGAACAGTTACAGAAATTAGCAGGGAGGTGGTGGTGAGCTCATCAAGCAGATTTCAGTGTAGATTTTTGTATATATGAAAGGAACTCAAAGCAACAAGTTACAGATTGAATGGCAGATTGAATGTCATTCCACATCTAGTTGTTGCTGAAACATTCCTTTGCTGAGCCCACACTTTCAAAAGCTTCTCAGCAGGTATACTGATTTCTGCTTCATGGTCATGACAGACCCAGAAGCCATCCATACAGGCAACTGACTTGTCTGTTTGATTCTGTCTTTTTAAATCATGATTATATGTACTGCTTCATCTTGATTTATAAGCAAAACCTACAAAAATTAATGTTTTGTGGTTTATCTAAAAGGTAATACAGAAAATATTGCTGTTATTTTTGATGATTAGAATCAATTTTGTATAGTTTATTTCGATCTAAATAAAGTGTGAATTTTGTTTTAAAAAATAAAAATAAAATTTAAGCAAGAATGTTGATATTTAAACCTTAATAAATTGAATACTAGTTATTTAAATAGAAAGTAAATTCTTGAATCTTCTCTCTGTACACTAAAACAGCCCCAACCTCAAATCAGTGGTGCAAAACTAGTCCAGCAGATAAAAGCTCAAGCACTGAGGGTTGGCTTTGAGATAAAGATAGCTGTAAGCCTCTTGGATCATAAACTGCTTAAAGAAAAAAAGAAGTGCTGTCTCCAACACAGCTCTCCAGCCTGCAGGAAACAGACAGAGCTGGTAAAGGTCAGATCAAAGAGTCAGGTCCTTGGAGGGGAAACTTTGAACCAGAGCCAGGCCACCTCCTGATCTCTAGACAGAGTGAGTGGTTACCACCTATCATCCAGCCTCGGGAACCAGGAGCACCTGGGAATAGAGTCCACTGTGAAGATGTGAAGGAAGGATATATAGCTGTGCACGCTTCCCCCTCAGGTATTCATAGGTGAGATGAAAGCCTCTGTATAGTAGAGGCCCAGGTAACACCCAAGAGAAATGACTGTTACTGGGGCTGTCTGATGAACTGATTGGGCCTGAAATCTGTAAATACCAATTTCTGTAAGTAATCTGTATAAACCAAGGGAACACCAAGGAAGTTTGGATGAGAACTCCTAGCTATAGGGGTGGAAACAGCAAAGACTTAGCCTAGTCACCATTCTCTTTCTCTGACCCCTCACATGGCCTGAGTTTTAATGAGAGTTGCTATGTGTGCAGGATGATGGATGAGTGCTCTTGAGGAATTCCATAAAGCAAGTGTGTGCATATGCATATTGTTGATGTAAAGGATAATTCTCATCTCATAAAAGGTAAGAGATAGTTTATTCCAGAGCCAAATATAAGTGACCATGGCCAAGAACACAGATTCGGGTTACTCCCAATTCCATGTGCCAACATGGAAGCAGTTTCATGAAGCTTTTATAGTAACAGAACAAAGAAAAGTCATAAAGACACTTCTCAAATACATTGGTGGAAACAATAAGTGGGTAGTTACAGCAAAAGAGAAATCTTAGCTATAGACCTCAGATGCTATCTGATGACACTCAGCCTTTTAGTTGGTGGGAACTAGGGCTTTGTTAATACATTCCAAAAGGTTTTTATCTGTTAGTCACAGGGTGTTAAGTCAGAAACAGAGGTAGGCAAGGAGTAACTAGTTAGGGGGCTAAAGATAACCTAAAATAAACTGTAATTTCATTTTGAACCCACAACTTTCCAAACTCTCCAGTCACTGACATTCTAATCAGTTAATTAGCCTTTGCAGAAGGTTCACTTTCAAGATGCAGGTTTTCTAGGAACTTTCGTTCACAGTTTCTCCTGTTGAACAAATATCACATTTTGTGCATGCAGGTCGGGAAGGGAGCACATATTTATTTACCCATTGCTAGGAAACACTTCATAGGATCTAATGTTGATGAAGCTGTAGCAGGCAGGAAGAGCAGTCTTCAAGAGAGAGGAATAGATTCTAAAGCCAATAAGGAAGAAATTCCTGGATCATATCAAAACTATTAGACATCATTATCTGGATCTGACTTTTTCTTTTCTTTTATCCTCTGTATCTGACATAACATTTATATGTGACATATAATAGGATTATTATACTTAAAATAAGAACATTGCCTGACCTAACAGAATAAATGTAATAGATGAGGGAAACATGTATTTAAAGAAAAAAAAACAAGATTGGCTATATGTTTCCGCCTGTATTTATAGTTATTTGTACTCTATAAACTATTTATATTTAGAATATTAAGCAAATTTATTACCTTTTTATTTTTAGCTTTTCTTTTAGTCAATTTGACCTTAGAACTATAAGCTCATGTGGAATGGCTGGCTCTAACTCTAGTAAAGACTGATCTTCAATATTTAAGTTATCATAGCTCTTATCTATGGATTCTGACTTGATCTGTTTTATTATACTGGTATCCTACCAGATTTAGTTTGGAAAAGTAAATGAAAACATATTATAGAAGAAATTACATAACAATATAGTATTTCTTTAAACTTTCTTTAAATAATGTTTTCACTGACATACCAAACATTAATAACCTCGATGGAAATAAGAAATCAACTTGTTAGAAATTGTAATTTTATAGGCCTTGTAGGTATAACCAAATATTTTTTTATTTTGATAATTAGATAGAAATGGGACTCTAAAAGGAGTCACTGTGGTATTGTCCACTTCCTTTTATTAGTAAAATATAAAGATTGTTCTTACATAGGCTTGGTGCAGATATGGAACTTGACAAACTTGTTTGTTGGTTTTAAAGAGGCAGTAGTGGCCTTAAAAATCCTTAAAATGATACTTTTATATATGTAACTTACATACAAAATATATCTAAAAGCACAGAAATAAGTTATCTTCTCAATATCTCGAATAGAGATTCTAGGGACGTAAATGCAACATCACTCTACTCATGCATGCTAAGCAAGTCCTCTGCCACTGAACTTCCTCCCCAGCCCTATAGTTTGGATCCTAAATGCTTCCAAAATGCCCATATGTTAATGGCTTGGTTCCAACCTGTGGCATTTTTGGGAGGTGATAGAATCTTTAGGAGGTTAGGCCCAGTGGAAGAAAGGAAGTTATGTGGTTGAAAAATGAACAATAACAACCTTGGGGGGATATTGAGACCTCAGTCCTTGCTCTCGCTCCTTTTGCTTCCTGGCCACTGTGAGGTAAATAGCTCTCTTTGCCATTGCTGCCTCCATGATGTAACTCACTGCCACAGGCCAGAAGCAATGAGGCCAAGTGATCATTCATGAAAACATTAGCCAAAATAAACCTTTCCTGTCTTTAAGTTGATTAACTCAAGTATTTTGTCACAGTGACAGAAGGTTGGCTAATGTTTTTCTCAGTATGACATTCACCAGCCACATTTATTGACTGGTACTTCAAATATGACTGAAGTAGCTAAAGAAATACATTTTATTTCAGTTAATTCTACTTTAAGTTAAATGTCTACATGCAGCCAGTGGCCACTGTATTGGCTAGCACATTTCTAAGCACTGAGAAAAACATGGTAACAAAGAGGGATAAAGACTTTTAGTTTCATAAGATTTCTATTGAAAGAAAATATGGAGAGAAATAAATAGCACAATATATAAGTAAATAAAACTCCAGGTCATGGTAAATGTTACGCAGGAAATAAAGTAGGGTAAGGGGGTAGAGAATGTTGGAGGTGAGGGAGATGGGGTTTGGAATCAATGATTGGTAAAGGCCTCTGAGAAGGAGAGATTTAAATGGGGTGCTGAAATTTGTTCTGGGTAG